CGCGCGGCGGCCGCGCGCTCGCCGCCCCGCGGGCCCCGCGGCCGCCCCCGCGGCTCTGCCGGAGGAGCCGGGAGGGGCGAGGACGCCGTCGTGGAGTACGCCGTTGTGGGGGTCGTGGACGTTGAGGAGGAAGCAAAAGAAAGTATGTTGTTCGCTGAGTTTACAGAGTTATTTACACTTGACTCAGGAAGTGACTAATAAAAGTAAACTAGAGTGCTGAGGAAAGCGTTGGTTCAAAACATGACAAGAAAACCGATAAAAAGTTGCGGGCAGACAAAAAAAAAAAACATTTTTGCGAAGTCGGATGGAAATATTTGGGAGAGACGAAATAATACTTGGTAGACCAAAGATTGTTGAAAGACGAGGAAAAACGTTCCAAGTAATTAGCCAGCAGCCCCAGATGAACCCAGGAAGACCAAAATCAAGACAAACGTTCAAAAACCGGAAAAAGTACACTATGTGAAATACTCGGAAGGGTTACTAGAATTAATTTATACACAATCATTTGTGTACAATTTCTACAAAAGTACTGCTAATCGACTTGGTCTATTGGACTTGATTGTAAAACTAAAATTGTCTGTCGTTAATTTACAAAATATTTTGTAAACTGTAAATACAAATGTTGTTAAGCATGGAAGCAGAGGTAATGCTCGGGGCACGAAGGAATAATAAAAGCCTCGGCCTCGGAGGCAAGTTCGGAGGGCAGAGGAAGACGGGCGGCCGACGGCCACCTCGACTCGAGCAGGGAGATGGGAGATCTTGCCATCATGCGAGTGCAAGGGCTGCGGCCTCGGAGGAGGAAGAGGAGGGGAGCGCCACCCGCTGCGCTGAAATGGCAGGATTAGAGGGTCTCATTTCTGCACGATGGCGTTGAGCGTATTAAGGCGCTGCTGGCTTTGCGCGCACGCGATAACTGTGTACACGCGCGTCACCTCAAGAACTGTTTCAACGTTTTTCTTTTGGTGCGTTTTTATTTTATCCCCCCCCCCCCACCTGAGGCCGGTGTTATTTACCATGACGCCCCAGCGCGGCCCTCCCAGCGTATTGGGTTGCCGCCGCCCGCCCTGCTCGTGTAGGTAGGACCCTCGTGAGCGCGTCCCGGAATGTGAGTGCTGTACCTGTCAGGCCGTGTGGACTGTACTGGGCGGCGCCGCGGCGAGCAACCGCGTGAGTATGAGCGGACCACACGTCCCTGTTATTTTCTCTGGGCGTGAGTAGTTGCAGCCCGTCCCGAGCAAAGAAAAAAAAATGTAATCCTCGAAAACTTGTCTATCATTATTATCATCATCATCATCATTACAGTAATCTCATTTGTGCGAGCAGCGCGTGTGCGATAGAAGAGGCGTGGCGTGTAACTTTTGCCTTTTTACCTGGGCGGTGCAAGCTGACACCCACCAAGCCTACCGTGTAATTGATTTCCCCTTCCCCCCAGGTAAATGATAAAAGAGAGGCTGTTAAAACACACACACACACGTGCGCGCACACACATACTTGTCACGCCGAGTGTGCGGTTGAAAGAGTATGAGGGGGAGGGGGGCAGAGTCCTTGCACCAGGCTTCGGGGGGGGGGGGGGGCGCAAGTGGATGACCCAGATGCGCCCAGATGTCATGAATGCACGCCTCTGGTAATGAAGCGGGACGCATTTCCATCTCTCACGCGCCATACCTCCTCCCCTTTCTACCCCAACTCCCCCCAACCCTTTTCTGTTCTGCATTTAGCACAAATCGTTCAACACAAAAGTGGGGGAAACAAATTTATTGCATACGTCGGGAAAATAAGGTGACAAAAGAGTTTGCGCCCACAGAAAAAACTTCCCGTGCATGACTGTTACTACATGAGTGACAGCCACATAGATGTTTTATACACGGTGAAAACGAGTCCTTGGATTCCCCGGAGAGTTGGAAACCCAGTGGATGCCCTGGAAACGAAGCAATTACTCCCAGGGGATCTACTGGAAAACCCAGGGCATCCCCTGGGAAAATTGCAAATTTCCAGGGCAGCCCCCCTGGGACTCTCCCAACTCCTCTATGGAAAATGAAGAAAACTCGGAAAACTCCTGGGAATCCTGGAGCCCATTTTCACCGTGCACAAGCCATGGCTTTGTACAAATTTCACGCACACCTTGACACCGACACCGACACCGCGCACGGGGCGCACAGCTTTGAAGTGCCATGAGCGGCGGCGGGCCGAGCAGGGGTTTCAGGTCAGGGAGGCCATGCCGCCGCGCACACATGTGTGCTTTGGCATTAATTGGGGGGGGGGGGGGCTCGCATTTCGCCCGGGCCTCCAGTATTTCAAATGAGAGCGCGCTGGCCGGGCGCCGCCGGGGCGCACACATGTACAGAGACAGTTCTCTCTCGTTCTCTCCCCATACAGTTATTCATGGCCGCTTTACTTTTCTCTCACCAAAGTGCTTCACAGAGGTCGCGATGAATTAATTGATAAGTGAAGGGGGCCGGCCAGGTGTCTTCAAGTTACTCAATTAAAGTTTATGTAGTGTTCACTTTCGAAGTCTCGCCGGGCGGCCGCTGAGAGAGTGCGTGCGGGGCGAGCGTGCTAGGGCAGAGGGGCAGGGCAGGGAGGATAAAGAAAGGGAATAAAAAAGGGGGAAA